TGTAGGCCAGGTTTCTCACCCCTGCTTCAGATTTTAGGGGAGGGCTCACATGTCTGAACATTTCTACATGAAAAACAACAATCACAGACACAGTGGAGGGAGGACATTTCAGGGGATGCAGAAATGTTGGCCACCCTCATTCCAAAAGCTATGCCCTGTCTTTCAAGTATAATGCGCAAAAACTAAGCTCTCAACTCGGTTTTATTTGTGACCTGGTCTGGACAGAGAGGCAGTAGATCTGCAGAAGAGCAGAGCCTCCTATCTTCCAAAGCATCTCTTTCAGAAAGATAGGAAGGACACCTTCCTCCCTTCTGCGCAGGGACATCAATACAGATTCTATCAGTCACACGACACTTTGGATTACCAGCAACTGTGTGTCATGTAAAGCGACAACGCAGTAAAAGACAATTTACACAGCGGCAGATCACTTGAAAATGCAATAATAAAAAGAGAATGTGAGAGATATGCCACAAATAAAGTTAAATGAATTAAGGTGGATGCCGACCCACTCCAAATCAAATTGCAGCCTGAACAATTACTTCCCAGTTCCTTATTTGCACATTTGTTTGGGCTGGGGGGGTGGGCTTTATTTTTCAAAGGACCCCTTCCCACCCTCCATACATAGGCTAGGGCATTTTTCCCCAAACTTGAGTCTCCAGCTGCTTTTGGACCACAATTCCCATCATCCCTGACCACTGGTCCTGCTAGCTAGGGATGATGGGAGTTGTAGTCCCAAAACAGCTGGAGACCCAAGTTTGGGAACTCCTGCCCTAGAGCAAGGATTGGCCCAGTTTTTTCTGCATCGTGGGAGATAAGGTCATCAACAGCTACTAGCTATGATGGCTATGTTCTCCCTCCACTCTCAGGGAAGACGTGCTTCTGTATATTAGTTGCTGGAAACTGCAAGAGAGGAACGTGCAGTTGCCTGCTAACACTTCAGAAGTTACATTGATTTTACATTTGTAGAATGTAAACACCCTTCTGAGTAACATCCTTCTTTTTTAGACTATAGAACAGATCCATATGTCTCTGTAATATTATGCAATATTATGCAAACATGAGGCACTATGGATTTTCACTTTAAATTCCTGGTGGACTCAGTGGCCAGCTTTATTCAGCTGCCTGTCTGCAACATCTGCTTCTCATAATTAATGATTAATCACATCAGAATACAAACTCAAAGTCATTATAAATTATGTTTCATGGAAGTGGTGTTTATTCTGTTTTGCCTTGAGAGGAGTATGAGGATGATATCTCAATGAAATATTCAATAATTCTGAGTAAGCATATAGTATACTGTTTACACATTTTTTGTTTAATGATGTTATATACGTTGAATATATTTTTTACTTATTTAAGCAAGAACATATACTTATATAACATACAGAAAGAAATGAAGAGAAACAATATAATTGAATTAAAATCTTTCTCAATTTGGTTTGTTTCATTCACTATTCCTAGAAAAAGAATTAGCATTGGCATTGAAGAGTAGTAAAATTTCTTTAGAGAGTTGTTTTATTTATAAATACCAGGCTATTGTTCTCTGGGTCTTACAATATTCCCACTTAAAGCTGAAATGTTACTAAGAATTCCAAATATTTCACAGGAGGCATTTGAACAATATGAAACATCAGGAATAGCTTTCTGATGGTGAGAGTTGTTCAACAGTGGAACGGACTATCTTGAAAGGCGGTGGACTCTCAGTCACTAATATTTTCTAAACAGAGGTTGGGTGGTGATCTGTCAGGGATTCTTTAGTTGTGATTCTTGTATTGCAGAAGTTTGTTGTTGTTTTCATTCATCTTTATTGGTTAATTTTCTTTTCAATAACAGTGGAACCACATGCAATCATAGTGAAAAAACTCTGTTATCCTTTTATTGTACATTTATTATTTTGTATTTTTTTAATGTTTGGACGAACATGTACAACAGCATTGCAGAAGTTTGAAATAGATGATCCTTGCCCGCCCCCCCCAATGCTGCAATTCTATGATTCTATGAATTAATTTCAGAAAACTTTTTATTTTTACCATCAGTGCCTGGCGTTTCTATAGCATAAGGCAGTTAGCAGCAATCAGTTACAGGCAGGTAGCCGTGTTGGTCTGCCGTAGTTGAAACAAAATTAAAAAATTAAAAAATTCCTTCCAGTATACCTTAGAGATCAGCTAAGTTTCTTATTGGTATGAGCTTTCGTATGCATGCACACTTCTTCAGATACACTGGTTGTTGAACTTCCATTTCATGTGGCTCAATGTGGAGCCTTCCATAGCTCTAGTTACAGGTAAGGTAGCATTGTTGGTCTGCCGTAGTCAAAACAAAATATATTTTTTTAAAAAAAATCCTTCCAGTAGCACCTTAGAGACCAACTAAGTTTGTTATTGGTATTAGCTTTCATGTGCATGCGCACTTCTTCAGATACACTTCAGATACACTAATACCAATAACAAACTTAGTTGGTCTCTAAGGTGCTACTGGAAGCAGGAATCAGTTTCTCATGGTGCTCTATTTTGCTTGGTATGGTTTTATATATTTGGACAATGTTTATTTTTGAATACTGGTCACTGTCCATACTAAAGAGATGGATGGATGCATGGATTGAATGACTTGTGCTCCAGATATCTGAAGGAGCAGCTCCACCCACACAGAGCTGTTCAGATGCAAGGGATCTGCAAGGGAGACCCTGTTAGCAGTACAACTGCCCTGTGATGTGCACGGGGCAATTTTGATTGAGGTGACATTGCCTGTGATGGCTTCCAGTTTGCTGAATGCTGCCTTCTTCAAGGTTACCCATCTCAAGACATTGCAAACCTCCAGCTGCTGGGTCAGCTACTATAGTATTTTGCTCAGGCCTTTGATGGTGGAAAATGAAAGGAAGATTTTAAAAAATGACCCTCCCCTCGGCAGATCTATTTTGTCTGATGGTTGTTCAGTTTTGAATTTTAATCTGTTATGTTGATTCTGTATGTGCCCCATCCCAGGACTGCATGGAGAAGGGCAGGTAATAAACATGTTAAAGAAAGAAAAGAAAATTATCTCCTTGCAAACCTTCATGGGAAACAGATGGCTGAAGGATGACATAGATCAATGAACAAGTGAAACCAACACCTTGATTTGAGCCTGGACATGGTGGAATAGTCAGTACAGTTAATATAAAATTAGTCCCAGTCATCTAACCCAACTTGAAGGAGAGCTCATACATCATACTGCAGAACCAAAGGGAGATGAAAGGCAATTCTGTTATGAAACTTCCAATTCCATTACAAAACCTAAAGCACCATAGCTAAGCAGATGTATGAACCTACCAAGCAACACCTGAGGCCAGTGGAAACTGTTTGTCAAAAACCAATGAGTTGTACTTGGAAATGAGCACAGAGTAATCAGCATGGATTGGTACGTTTGTCACCTACAGCATGCATCGAACCATCTGCACCCCCATTAGCTTTTCCTGTTTGCCGAATAGATGGACGCAAATGTTTTGCAATAGAAAATAGCTGCTTTGGTCTGAATTCCTGCTCCTGCCCCCTGCCCCCCCCCCATTCAGTGGGAAATAAATGCACCAATATATTGTGGCACTCATAATCAAAAGATCCTATAATTACCACTACAGTGGTACCTTGGGTTAAGTACTTAATTCGTTCCGGAGGTCTGTTCTTAACCTGAAACTGTTCTTATCCTGAAGCACCACTTTAGCTAATGGGGCCTCCTGCTACTGCCATGCCGCCAGAGCACAATTTCTGTTCTCATCCTGAAGCAAAGTTCTTAACCCGAGGTACTATTTCTGGTTAGTGGAGTCTGTAACCTGAAGCGTACGTAATCCGAGGTACCACTGTATTTAGCAAAATTTAGGTTGAAAAAATGTCTGCAACCCAATGCTCCCCCCCCCTTATCAATGTTATTCCTACTCAAGAGGTGACCTATTGAAATTAATGGACAAGACTAAGGTCCAATTATTCCAATGGATCTCCTCAGAGTGTAATTAATTATTATAACTCATTCCATTCCTCCTTCACCAGCCTAGCTCCCAGGATAGACTGAGACCTCCACAGCTACATAGACTAAGCAAGAAAATAAAAGAAGTGAAATATCTGGTCAGAGATTTCTCAGCCAGTGGAGGCTGGTTCATAAAGGCAAATGGGGAGCTGTCCCACCAATTCCAGTCATCTTTCTTCCAAGCCCACCTGCCTGCTGTCTGGGGGTGGTCCTGGCTATCTACTCCGTCCTCCTTAGTCTCAGTGCTGCCCCTGGTAGAACTCAACAGGGAGGAGGATGGGGGGGGGACTAGAATGATTTGGCTCTGCCCATCATTGGTTCTTTCCACCTGTCACTGGCTCTGGTTCCACCTATTGTTGGCCTCTCTGTCTTCTGCCCAGCCACCAGCCACCACTGCTCTCAGCATTTTTCTCTCCTTTGTTTCTACATACACTTGATATTAGGGGAGTAGTCCATTGTATGGAATGGACTGCTAAATTTTGGGCAGATGGAGGTTATGTCCTCTGTGAACATTTATGCAGCTTCATATACTGATGCAGAGAGAAACTAGAGGTCAAACATACTATGTAGAAAGGACACCAGATTAAGTCAACTGGAACCAAGAGTTTAATCCTAGATATGAAGAGTTTTATTGTAAGCATGATAAAAGTTTGAGCAGCTTTAGGCATTGCTTCTAGAAGTTTGAACAGACATAGGCATCATGGAGAAAATCATGTTATGCTAATTCTCATCTCACTTCACTCATGGATTCCCTAACCTTGGTTGTTTCCCCAAAGCCAGTTGCTTCCCTTGCTATCCACCCCGAATTCCACAAATTATGGAGAACCTAGATCAATCCAGACCTTTGATCCATCTAGCTCTCCAGGGTTTCAAACAGTGGTCTTTCTCGTCTGCACCCGAAGATGGTACCTGGGACTTTCTGCATGGAAATGATGTGAAGAATGCAAAGGAACTACAGTCCTCCCCCGCCCCCTTGACATAAAACCATGATGAAAGCAAAGAGGACTCACCATCCATGTCAAGGCGCTGCATGATAATTGCCAGTTCCACCTCGCTAGGCATGTATCCCAAGGAGCGCATCGCCATCCCCAGCTCTTGTTTGGAAATGAAGCCATTGCCATCGCGATCCAGTACTCGGAAAGCTTCGCGGATTTCTGCAGCGAAGGGAGAGAAATATTGTGCACTGAATTCCTTTAGGATTACTTTCTGACTCAAAAATAAGGCAAGGGGATTCCCAGGGGTGGAGATTAAGGGAGTCCTCTTTGTTGGTCCATTTCCCTCAGACGTTCCGGTGGTGTTGGTCAAGAAGACAGCATTTTCTGTGGCAGTCCCTAAGTTCTGAAATAACCTTCCCACAAAGATGTTTCTGATTTCTTTACTATATAACTTTTGGCAAATGCTCAAGACACACCTCTTTGACACCTGAGATGTGTGGTTTCAGCAACCACCCAATTCCTGTGACTATACTCTGTTTTAACGGTTTTTAATTTTGAATTCTCATTGTGGTGAGGGGTGGGTAATAATAATTATAACAATACCTTCAAGCCAGCAGCTGGTTACAAATAGTGAACACCAGCAACCTTCAGGGAGCCAAATGAAAGAGGTTTTTCTAAATGATGAGAGAGTGGGTTGATTGTCCCTGGCCATGCTGACTGACAGTGATGGTAGCCCAAAAGCATCCAGAGAGCACCTGATTGGGAAATGCTTAGAAGTTGTTCATAACCACAACAGAAACTCATCTCAAATGCTTGCTACAGATCAGGAAGTCCAAGAGGACGGCAGCATGTTTGGTAAGCACAGTCAATCTGGAAGTTAACCATGTGCTCAAGGCCATAGAAGGAGGAGGTACACTAAACGCATAAGTTGTCAAAATAAATCCCCCATCTTTGATATATAAGACTAATAAAACAGATTGCTTCACAGTCTCTTCTCTCTCTCTCTAGGAAAGGAGATTGGCAACTCTGTGGCAGAACACGCAGATGCAATGGAACAACGAGATGCAATTCAACAGAGCCATATTTCCCGTGGGAGTCAAACCCATACGCTCCCTTGGTTAAGTTCTTAGCTCGGAACAGTGGCACTATTCCATCTCTTGAGCGAGTCCTCGAGATCAAGATGGAAAAGGTTTCACTGGGTGAGAGAGACCAAACACGTTTAAAACAAGTTTTCAGTTCCAAGAATTTGAAGGTGAATTTAGTACAGCAGGTTGGGTTCAAGGCCTGCTCCCCAATTGTCCAAATATTATTGGCTTGAAAACACAGATGTGTTCAATGGCTTAATTGTGTATGAATGAACCAAAACACCCTCCCACGTTTTCCCCCATTTTTAAAAATTACTTATATTTGTTCAGTTCCTCACTAAACAAGTTCTGAAGGCATCATACAAAAAGGAAACCTATTGCCATAATGCTCACCAACCCCGGATCCACAAGAAAGTTAAAAACCCAACCCAGCATAAAACTCAAATACAAAATGACCAATAGAATAAAGCATAATACTAGTTAAAGGCCTTAAATGACAATTTTAGGGATTAAGATTTAACTTATATATTTTTAACTGCTGCTATATCTGTATTGTCCCTGTTATACCCAGTTGCAAATTTGCAAATTAAAATGTATCCCTATCATGTTTTATGACTGCCCTGATATTGTATGTGACCTGGAACTGGTCTGTGACTGAAATTAATAAATTCAGTTGTACTAGTCAAAGGAGCAAAAAACAGCAAGCAAAGACAGGGACTGTGACCACCAAATAAGGGAATTAAAAGCATCATGCTCTTTAAAGGTAGAGACAAACAAGCCCTAGTCAGTTGGTATGAGAGCACCACCAAAAACCCCCGTCTTCTTACATCTACCCTCCAAACTGCAAACTGAGAAGGGTTTCCCTTGATAGTGATAACGTAATCTCTTCTGGAATTCTTCTCAATGTGAACATACCCTGGGTCTTCGGAGACCTTTCCCCAGCCCATCCACTGAGGGGGGCTTGGAGGCAAGAGAGAGGATCTTTTCAGTTGCAACTCCCCCTCTGTGGAATGCTCAACCCAGTGAGGTCCACCTGACACATTCTTTGATATCTCTTGGTGCCAAGTAAAGACTTATCTCCCTGCTCCCCAGGTTTTCATTGACTAAGGAGAAGGATTTAGTAAGTACTCATTTCCTCTGGGCTCTGTTAACTGTTCTCCCCCCATTTCATCCTCCTCTTTCACCTCCTCATCCATTTCTACCTGGCATTCCATGCCTGCACAAGGCTGGCAAGGGGAAAAGAGGGCGGTCCCCGGGCGTGCCTGGGCTTAAATAGGCTATGCCCCATCTCCCCGACCCGCTGATTGGCGGGCCGGGTCGGAGGCACGCCCGGGGATTCCCTGTTCACGCGGGGGCAAAGGCCGGCCCCCGCGCGCGTGTGGGAGGGTTTAGCCCGCAACCCCCTCTCCTCCCAGGTCGGAAATGGCTTTGGCTGTGTGTGTCAATGATTTAGTGCTGTTCTGGCTTGTTTGAGAAGGATCTCGGATTTTCAAAATGCCCATAGGGAAGCTCCTGTTTAGCTCCTGTTTAGCTCCACAGCCTGCGAGGGCTTTGATGATTTCCTACCAGGGCTCAGTATCATGTTTAGTGCAGAGAGTGGGCTTGGGTTGAGTCACGGCTGCAGCTTTTGAAGGAGTCTGGCAGAACATGCTCTTCGTGACGGAGTTTAGGCTTCAAAACAGAACCTAGAGACTCGGTCCAATGTTTCTAGTAAACTAGGGACTCTGCTGGCCCAAACAAAAGCATCTCTTTTTCCCCTGATGTGTTAAGGCTGCCAAGTCTCAGGGTATGACCCAAGAGATTTCGCCTCCTTGTGCCATAGGCAAGGGATTTAACTTGTGGGCACTCTCTGGGGAAGAATCTGGAGCCTAAAGAATGACAAAGCGAAATCCACACCAACATATAAAAGTGTAATAGAGGTGAAAATAAAATACAATGGTACCTTGGTTCTCAAACGCCTTGGTACTCGGACAACTTGGAACCCAAATACTGCAAAACTGAAAGTAAGTGTTCTGGTTTGAGAATCTGTTTCAGAAGCCAAATGTGCTCCGTTTTGAGTGTTATGCTGTTTTTGCTATTTATTTTGCATTTTTGCTTTTGCAGCTCTTTTTCTTTTGTTTTTTGTGACTGTGTGGCACATGTGTGACTGCAGCACATTGTTTACTGCTTTCATTTTCTGGAACAATGATCTTGTTAGATAGTAAAATTCATGTTAAATTGCTGTTTTGGGGGTCGTTTTTAAAAGTCTGGAACGGAATAATCCATTTTGCATTACCTTCTATGGGAAAGCACACCTTGGTTTTGGAACGCTTTGGTTTTGGAACGGACTTCTGGAACGGATTAAATTTGAGAACCAAGGTACCACTGTAAAATAAAATCAGGGCATTCACGAGTGCAGTGATTTACCAGGGATAGGGAATTGCTCTTGGCAAGCAGAGACAATTAGGAAGGGAGGTAGCTCAGTGGTTGAACATCTGTTTGCATGCAGCAGGTCCAAGGTTCAATCCCCAGAATTTTCAGGTAGGGCTGGGAAAGAACCCTATCTCAAATCTTGGAGAGGCACTACCAGTCAGCATAAACTGTTCAGACAGCACAGCAGTCCCCATGAAAGCATTGCACGCTCTCTGTCATTTCCACAGAATGAATTTTGTGAGGAGGCAGTAAAAGTATCACTTCACATGACCAGTTTCTCTCCAGCAGCTATAACTGTAACTATGGCTGGTGGCAAGGGTGGGGAGAGACATAAAACTGGAAGAAAACACTATGTATTATTTACAATGTTTTTCTGGGTTAGGCAGCACTGCCCATCTGTCTAACATCTTTCTTGGACTCCTCTCTCAATGCTGAGAAGCAGCAGCAAAACCAGGCTCTGAAACCTTAAGGTTGGCACTCTCCTGACAGATATTTTCCAAAGAATTTAATGAGTCCCGATTCCAAATGAAATTGCTGAGAAAGAATTGCTTTTCTGCCATGCTGCTAGATACAAACTGGCTCAATCCGCACCACTCAAACTTGCACGCAGATTGATTTTAGTGATCTACTCAGTTTTTGCCTTTCCAAATTGTTCCGGTGCAGTTCTTGGCTCAAACAAAGGAACAGGGAAATCTGTTAATTGCTGTTTCTCTGAGTTTCTCGTTTTCCAAATCTTAAATTCAGTTCTCAGCATTTCCACCTGAAAATTCACCAGCATGTTAGTGTGAATTTCTCCTCACATGCTTTTTTTTTTTTAAATGCATTTTTTCCTAATATGCACAAACTGATGTGGAATGTGGAGAACTGAATTTTAGATTGGGGAAAAATGAGAAACTGAGACAAACAAAAATGACAGGTTTGCTCATGCCTATGCTCATTTTCTGGGTGCTGATATGTTGTCCTGTGAACACCCAGCTAAGAAGGACAACATACAGGGGTGCCAACTTGAATAAAATATTTGTGGGGGGGGCGGGTAGGTAAACCCCAGGCTGCATAATCGATTCTATGATGCAATGCAAGCACACCATTTGAATGGCAGTGCCCAGAAACTTTAGTGCCCCCCAGCTCCCTCAAATACTGCAAGAACACAGGAAGTTGTCTTATCTACACCAGCATGGTGTAGTGGTTAAGAGCGGTGGACTCGTAATCTGGTGAACCGGGTTCGCTTCCCCGCTCCTCCACATGCAGCTGCTGGGTGACCTTCGGATAGTCACACTTCTCTGAAGTCTCTCAGCCTCACTCACCTCAGAGTGTTTGTTGTGGGGGAGGAAGGGAAAGGAGATTGTTAGCAGCTTTGAGACTCCTTAAGGGAAGTGAAAGGTGGGATATCAAGTCCAAACTCCTCTTCCTCCTCTTCCTCCTCCTCCTCCTCCTCCTCCTCCTCCTCCTCCTCCTCCTCCTCCTCCTCTTCTTCTTCTTCTTCTTCTTCTTCTTCTTCTTCTTCTTCTTCTTCTTGTCTACCAAATCAGACCATTAAGTCCATCTATCTCAGTATTATGTACACGGACTGGCAGGTTTTCAGGCAGGTGTCTCTCTGCCAGCCCTACCTGGAGATGTGAGGGATTGGACCCGGGACCTTCTGCTTGAAAAGCAGCTGCTCTGCCACTGAGCTGCAGCCCTTCTGTGATTTCCCCCGCACCCCTGATAAGAGACATTTCCACT